CTTTCACACCACCCTTTCACACCACCCTTTCACACCACCCTTTCACACCACCCTTTCACACCACCCTTTCACACCACCCTTTCACNGTTCTATGCCTTAAATTCTCTTTGTGTTATCTATTGCCTTATTGGTTCCTGGAATTTGTACTTTGAGACGATCCTTTCTCCCTGGCTGCTGAGATGACATGACAAGACCCGTTCTCGTCCACCAGCTTACTTTTGTTTATCTGTCAAGGCAACACCGTGCGTGTAAGGGCCCTGAACTAAGGCCCGTGTTGACTTTAGAGCGATACAAATTATCTTAGTTTAGCAAATTTACGGAGCAAATTATAGGAAAATCTGGACAAGACAAAGGTTGTGTCGGCAATTAGCGTTCTTCTGTGAACAAACAACAGTCAAAACAATATAAAATAAAAATAAATACTAAATACTCCCTACATTGATGTATCTTTTTGTGTATGCTTTTATGCGCTTTTTATCTTCTCTTTGTCTTTTTTTTTTTGTTGAAAGTTTTGTCGAATAAAAAGGATTTATAAAAAAAAAAATGGCGCCTCGTGGCATGTGGAATCCAAATGTCAACCATATTGACATTCCAGCAAGCCAAACGCTCAACTAAAGGAGCTCATTCTTTGAGTAACATTTTGATTTAAAAAAAAAATATTTTTTTTTGGCTTGAACCTTTATATTAATAATTCAATAGTAAAATATTTCTTTAGGAAATGCCTAAAGCCTTAAGAGCAGATTGGCGGAACTAAGGACGACTACTGTCAACGAAACATTTGCCCTTGTTTAAACAAACACAAAAACGACATAAGATTTGCGACTATAAGGTTGAGATTTATGCATTTATTGAAATTGCTTGACGCAATAATGTGGGGGGGGGGCACTTGTGGGGTTTATGAAAACCTCTTGTATGCTCTTCTGACTGAAGCAGAAATGCAGGACAACTTGATAGAGCTAACCCAACCCCAAAGCACCTTTAGAACATCAGTCAACATCAGACAAACGTTTAACAATAATTTTGATCATAACGATATGATTTCCAGGCCCAGGCCCACTTCTATGAAATTCTGGGCTCCAAGGCAGCTGCCAGAGTTCGGGCCCCTTTCGTGTTTCAAACACGTGCGCATATATTAAAACTGGAGAAAAAAACTGGTCTTCTTAAATCGCTTATCCATAGTAACATACTAATCTATCCACAGTCACGCCTACACAGATAAATTTCACTAACCATCCCAAAATTTCACTTATAAATCTAAATTAATCTACCTATCGACAGCCTCAGCTATAAACCTATATATAAATACCCACAGCATCCTCTATTTAGCTAAAAATAAACACTGACTCCCAACTCCTTATTTCAACTATGATCAATATTTTTGTTTTTCCAGCTTGTACACTGCCAGGGAAGAAAGAGAAGGGGGAAAAAAAAGTCATTTCCGCCCAGGTTTGTTCCCGTCCACAAAGACCATGGTGGACTGCAGCCATGCAAGTGAGCTGGTTTTACACATCAAACAAGATGCGCTGCCCCCAGGCAGACAAATAGCAGGGCCAACACCCCCCCCCCCAAAAAAAAAAAAAAAAAAAAAAAAAAAAAAAAAAAAAAAGAAAAAAAAAAGAAGAAAAGTTTGAGATGGTAAAGTGGAAGGCCATCAATCGATACCAGAGAGATCTAATTACAGTACCACACAAGATCCCCTTTGTACATGGGGCGCGCTAATAATATGACGTAGAACTGACATTGTTAAGTACAGGGAGAGGAACTAGGTCAAACTCTTGGATTGTCCTGGGTAAGGCATGGGGATTAAAAGCAACTTGTTCAAGATTAGAGAAAACAATCGCTGCCACCTTTTTACTAAACAGAGAATTAAATTTAGATGACACATTTGATATAGATGACATATCTTTGATATAGATGACATATCTTTGATATATATACAGAAAATTTTTTGATATAGAGGACATTTCATTGATATAGATAACATATCTTTGATATAGATGATAAACTTTGACCTAGATGACATATCTTTGATATAGATACATACCTTTGATATAGATGACATACATTTAATATAGATGATATACATTTGTTATAGATGACATTCATTTGATATAGATACAAATCTTTGAGATAGACACATGTCTATGCACGAATGTCACTTGAACATTGCTGTCTTTGATAGACGTTTTCAATTTGATACAAGAAACGATATTAATTTAATGAAATCGAGACGCCCCTCCCATCCCCCTCCCCCAACACCCACCCCCACCCAATCAAAAAAAACCCACACATATCAGTCAGCACCAGGCGAGTTTACGAACCAATATATCAGCACCAGGCGAGTTTACGAACCAATATATCAGAACCTGGCAAGTTTACGAACCAACATATCCGAAACTGGCGAGTTTACGAGGCATCATATCATCACCAGGCGAGTTTACGAACCCAATGTACAAAATATACGAAAAAAACTGTTCTATAAATAGAAGACTATTAAATTATTTTTATAAACTTAAAGTGTTGTTAATAACGTGGGTAAGTTGTGTTTATCATGGCAAATGTGAGCGCAACTCGTCACCCAACCTATGTGCCCGCCCCCCCCCCACCTACGTGCTCGCCATTCCCACCTACGTGCCCGCAAATCCACCTATTTGCCCGCCACCCTACCTATGTGCCCACCACTCCTCTCATGTGTCTGCCACCCCACCTATGTGACCACCACACCACCTATGTGCCCATCACCCCACCTATTGCCCGCCACCCCACCTATGTGCCCGCCACCCCACCTATGTGCCCACCACCCCAACTATGTGACCACCACCCCACCTATGTGCCCGCCACCCCACCTATTTGCCCACCACTCCTCCCATGTGTCTGCCACCCCACCTATATGCCCGCGCGCTAATGGAAAAGCAATTAAGTTGACGTTTCAATTATTGAGTTGCCATTAATCGCACCGGTGTCAGTGTTGTCCTGTCAGAGCAGCGAAACACAAATGACAAGATGGCGTCTGTCTTTGTGTTGGTNCCCCCCCCCCCCCCCCCCACAACCACCCCCCCCCCCCCCCAATTATTTTAATTACCGAAAGGCTAGTTTTTTGAACCATAGAGGTTCTGGGGTTGATCGGCCAGTTAAGCATCTTATTAAATAGTTTCTAGTTTTAGACATTTGACATGACCTCAGCATTTTAAATTGGGACTTCGAATAAAATACACTTTATTGATACTAGAAGTAAATTTCTGAATGAAAAAAGAATTAATAAATTTAAACAAGTCAGAGAAATGAAACAAAAAACGTACTGTCTGGAAAAAACGTACTGTCTGGAAAAAAACGTACTGTCTGGAAAAAAAAGTACTATCTGAAAAAAAAACTACTGTCTGGAAAAAAGCGTACTGTCTGGAAAAAGCGTACTGTCTGAAAAAACAAACAAAACTACTTAGTGCATGAATAAAAAAATACTGTCTGGAGAGGACATAATGTCTGGAAGAACGTAGTATCTAGAACAAAAATTATCGATTACGGAGGGACACGTTGACAGATCATCTTTCTTCGAAATCAGTTTAAAATAAAATACGCAAACTTCGTTCAAAACTTTTGTTGTTGTCTACACAGGTAACATAGACAAGCAGAGGACACCCATACTGACACATGTCACATAGACAAGCAAAGGACACCCATACAGACACATGTCACATAGACAAGCAGAGGACACCCATACTGACACAGGTCACATAGACAAGCAAATGAATCCCAGACAGACACAGGTGACCTAGACAAGCAGAAGACACCCATACAGACACAGGTCAGCTAGACAAGCAAAGGACACCCATACAGACACAGGTCACAGAGACAAGCAAAGGACACCCATACATACACAGGTCATACGGACAAGTAGAGGACACCCATACAGACACAGGTCACATAGACAAGCAAAGGACACCCATGCAGACACAGGTCACATAGACAAGCAAAGGACACCCATACTGACACAGGTCACATAGACAAGCAGGGGACACTCAGACAAACACAGGTCACCTAGACAAACACAGGTCACCCATACAAGCAAAGGACACCCAGACAAACAAAGGTCACCTAGACAAGCAAAGGACACCCAGACAAATACATGTCACCTAGACAAGCAAAGGACACCCAGACAAACACAGGTCACCCATTCAAGCAAAGGACACCCAGACAAACACAGGTCACCTACACAAGCAAAGGACACCCAGACAAACACAGGTCACCTACACAAGCAAAGGACACCCAGGCAAAAACAGGTCACTTAGAAAAAAGAGAGTAGTGAATAAAGAGATTACAGAGAGAAATTAGTGAACATCAAATCAACTTAGAACTTCCAGTGTTGCCATAAAAAATAACCCATGGCAACGATAATTTGATGAGAGATATTAAAATTACACTTATTATTTTTTTAACATATATACCACTCAACAGCAATATCGTTTCTCGTTCTTCAATAGTAACAAGGGTTATTTATTAAAATTTTATTTATTCTTTTGGCTCCGAATTTAACCACACAAATTGTTTCCAAAACCACATTAAACTAAATGGCAACCACACAGCTATTATCAAACAGATTTCATCCTCCACACGAGGATGGACAACCTACGGCCCACGGGCCACTAGCGGCCCGCTAAAACTTTTTATGAGACCCAAAATACCACCCAGGGATCTGGATTAATGTTTTCGGAAATTGTTCAAATCATAAAACATTTTCTGTAAAATCCTTTGAATATATTTCATCAAAGGGTAGAGTTATGAAACTTCAATAACAATAATCACAGCAATTAATGGAGAAAAAAATATTGCATTGTTTACGAACTAAGCTGGAGTGAAATCTACATCCATATAAATTATCATGCGGCTTGCGCAACAGAAAACTGAAAAATTAAGTTTCATGCGGTCTCTCAATCAAAGATTGCAGCATGCCCTCGGGCTAAAATAGAAAAATAGAACAAAACATAAATGGCAAAAAAAAAAAGCTACTCACCTTGAAATTCTTTCCTCGCCGCGCTGACGTTGGTGACGATGTTAGCGATGTGTCCCAGGACGGTGGCGAACAGCAGCAAGGCGAACAGCAGCTCGAAAATCACAAACAGGTACTCCGGGAGCGACTTGGGCGTGGGCGGGTCCCCGATCGTGGTTAGCGTCCGCACGCTCCAGTACAGCGCGTGGAGGTACTGCAGCAGGGTGCCGTGCTCGTCCGTGGGGAACTTCCAGCTCTTCGGCACCTTCTCCATCCGGTCCACGAGGATGAAGTACAGGCACGCATTCCAGTGGAACAGGGCGAGAAGGTAGTGGATGAGCGTGGCGGTCCTGATCACGTTGGGGTAGTTCGTGTGTCGCTCGGTTCGGTCCAGGAACGACCAGAAGCGATAGACCTTGACGAGACGAAAGCACCGGAGGATGGACTTGAACCCGAGGCTCAGGTACAGGAAGTCTAGCGGCAACAAGCACAGGCAATCGATGTAGAACATGGTCGTGTTCATGTAGTGGATCCGCAGCTTGGTCGGGTCCGTCTGGAGGACGCCGTCCTCCAGGTAGCCGGACCGGAAGTGGAACGCGATGTCCAGTATGTACAGCAGGTCAGCGGTGTAGTCCAGCGTGAACCAGATGGCGATGTTGTTGGCGTTGATCTCCTGAAAGGCGTATCTGTAGATGATCACCCAGAAGTTGTAGAGGAAGGCGACGCTGACCACGCTCGACCACCAGTAGCAGAGCCGACCGGAAGGGTCGAACACGAACGTCCAGTTGCACCCGTCGCGGTCCGAGCTCACCGAGGCTGTGGTTTCGATGCGGGTGTCGCCTTTGATGCTTTTCCGGCCGAAATCCCGCTTGATCTCCTTCCGTCGCTGTCGCCTCTGATTTCTCGTCGTGTGCGCGATAATGTTCCCATCACTTGGCCGCGGCTTTTTCATAAGCGACGCCTGCGCTAGGGAGAAGCGCTTCCGGTTAGCCTTGACCCTATCCAGCCTGCTGCTAAAGAGGTCAAGGAGACTTTGTTTGGAGGTTGACTTCGCCTTCTGCTCGATCACCTTGCTGGAGTAGATCGGGGAGGACAAGCTAATCTTATCGCTGGAGCTCAGCCTGTGGGTTTAAAGAAAGCAGAATGTAAGACACATGAACGATTGTGTTACGTAATAAAAAAAATTGAACACACGAAAATACATAGCAATGAACACAAAACAGCATTAGAGACCTATTGAATAAAATCTGGTTTGGCGTTACAAACCTATAGAACAAAAACTAGTTTAGCGCTACAGATTATAGAATAAAAACTAATTTAACTCTACAGACCTATAGAATAAAATATGGTTTAGCGCTACAGACCTATAGAATAAAAAACTGGTTTGACTCTACAGACCTATAGAATAAAAACTGGTTTAACTCTACAGACCTATAGAATAAAAACTGGTTTGGCGCTACAGACCTTTTGAACAAAGACTGGTTTGGCGCTTCAGACCTTTTGAATAAAAACTGGTTTGGCGCTACAGACCTATTGAACAAAAACTGGTTTGGCGCTACAGACCTATAGAACAAAAACTGGTTTGGCGCTACAGACCTTTTGAAAAAAAACTGGTTTGGCGCTACAGACCTATTGAACAAAAACTGGTTTGGCGCTACAGACCTATTGAACAAAAACTGGTTTGGCGCTACAGACCTTTTGAACAAAAACTGGTTTAGCGCTACAGACCTATTGAACAAAAACTGGTTTGGCGCTACAGACCTATAGAACAAAAACTGGTTTGGCGCTACAGACCTATTAAACAAAAACTGGTTTAGCGCTACAGACCTATTGAACAAAAACTGGTTTGGCGCTACAGACCTATAGAACAAAAACTGGTTTAGCGCTACAGACGTATTGAACAAAAACTGGTTTGGCGCTACAGACCTTTTGAAAAAAAACTGGTTTGGCGCTACAGACCTTTTGAACCAAAACTGGTTTGGCGCTACAGACCTATTGAACAAAAACTGGTTTAGCGCTACAGACCTATTGAACAAAAACTGGTTTGGCGCTACAGACCTTTTGAACAAAAACTGGTTTAGCGCTACAGACCTATTGAACAAAAACTGGTTTGGCGCTACAGACCTTTTGAACAAAAATTGGTTTGGCGTTTCAGACCTATTGAATAAAAACGATAAGAGCGTGTTTGTATATGACTACAAACTTTCCAAACAGTTTAACTAAAAAAAAAATAATTAAAACCATTACTTCCTTTTCAGGATCGGAAACATTTAAAAGACCCCCCCCCACCCCAAACCAACGCCCGAAATCTAGGCGCGACACCATTAGATGTTGATTTTTAAATGGGGGGGCCCTCTTTTTTTTTTCCCAACCAAACCTAGTCACGACACAGAATCAGAATATCAACATTACAACAGGAGAACTGAATCTTATTTGGATTGGTTTCTATATTTGTTAAAATTAATTAAATTTTAAAATAAAATGATACATTTTACACTCATGTTTAAATAACGTTAAAAAAAATTTAAAAAAAATAAATAAAATTTAAAAAAAAAAAAATAATAAATGAACCCCCGAGAGGACAAATGTACTTACCCCATATCCCTGGGTTTTGAGAACCATTGGCAACATCATAATGACATATTTAAAAAGAAATTATACTTCTTAACGCATGACTTAAACATCGTTGGACGCCTTGTCACAATTAAGTGTGTTGCCTGTCTCCATTCAACGTGTTGCTTAATATTAATTCAGTAATATCTGAATTTTCTGAAAAGCCTTTTTTAAAAAAAGGTTTGATTCTAATTGGTATATTAGTAATAAGAAGAGAAACTGCAATGAGGTTAGCAAAAAAAAAAAAAGGAAATGAGTAAAACAAAGCAAGGTCAAATCTGAAAAAAATGTAACGGAACAAAACAATGAACGTGTCGGCATGTAGCCTTCGTCAGCAAACAAACAACAGAACAAAAAAATTAAAAATAGCACTTAACTGAGATGTAGTCTGCGAGAGGACACACGTTGTGTCAGGAAAGATCAATTCTTCTCTTGCCCAATCTTAAAGAATTTTGAAGCTTGATTCACACCCCCCCCAGCCCCCGACCCCCCCTGACCCCCCAGCTGTTACCAAATCTAAATGTTCACTAATTAAGTCATTATTGTAACCAAAGGAGTTCTTTTATGGCTTAATTCTATGCTAGATAAATATTATAGATACCTTGTGCTTAAATTGTTTTAAGTTTGTAATACTGTCTTCGTTAAAATATGCATTTATTTTTGTGCTTAAAATGAATATGTCCAATGCAATCAATTTTTAAAAATTCCATTTATTTGCATCAATTTTTAAAAAAAAATTATCTTATCTTATAAAAGCTCAAAACTGAAAAATCCCCCCCCCCCCCCCACACCAAAAAAAATAAATAAAAAAAAACATATTATAAAAAAAAAAAAAAAAAAAATT